TCTTTCTTTCTTTCTTTCTTTCTTTCTTTCTTTCTTTCTTTCTTTCTTTCTTTTTTTTGTAAGAGGACACTGAGTTAATAATTTATTGGTTTAAGAAACTTATTTTGTGAAATCTGTAATATCTACATAATACACTGTTTATCTTAATTACCATGCACATTTCATTGCCCCCTTTTGTCTCTATGTATTTTAGTGTAAGTGCAGGCCTAAAAATAGGGATTAAAAAAAAAACATAACTCCCATTATCATGCTTAATAAAATCAGGCTACATACAATTTTGTTTGTTTGTTTGTTTGTTTGTTTTTGTTTTCTGAGATAGGGTTTCTCTGTAGCCTTGACTGTCCTGGTCTTGTTTTGTAGACCAGGCTAGCCTTGAACTCATAGAGATCTGCCTGCCTCCCCGAGTGCTGGGATTACAGGTATGAACCACTGTGTCCAGCATACTGGTTTTATTAATTGCCTTCAAAGTTTTTTTAGTAGGTTCATTTGAATCAAAATCCACATATTTGTTTGGGATGATTTGCTTTTTATTGATAAATGCTGATTGCCTATTTTTTTTAAATGAGGTTACAATCTCATTTAAAAAAAAAAAAAATATATATATATATATATATATATATATACTTTTTGTATTTTATTGCAAGATAAAAATAGTGGCCAGAGAAAAGTCTCAGCTGTTCCGAGTACTTTTTACAGATGACCCAAGTTTAGGTCCTAGCACCTAAGACAGGTAGCTTACAACTGTTTGTAACTCCTTCTCCAGGGAATTCATCTCCCTTTTCTGGCCTCCATGGGAACCTGGAAAAATGTGGCGCGTGCGCGTGCACGTGCACGTGCACACACACACACACACACACACACACACACACACACACACATACACACACACAGTTAAATAAACAAATAAATTTTTAGAACATCAGTGGCATGATCTTAGAGAACAATTAGAAAGCAAACGTATAAGGGAGATAAGAAATACCCAACATCCACCCCACTTGCCGCCCTAAAACACACGCACCAAAAACTCCCATTTTCTGGTCTGAGTAAAATAAAATCCTTTCCAGCTTTAGTGTTCTAGTAAAACCCTTCATTTAAATTCAACGTATACAAAATGGCATCCTTTAAAAAAAAAAAACAAAAAAAAAACAGCTTTAATACCAATCTGAAGCTAGATGGGTATTTTTCCTGTTTGCTTGGACCTGGAGGTTGTGGCCGTTATGATTGAGTCGTCTGTCTTTGCAAGCTCTTTCCTTCCCAGGCATGAGCAGTCTGGCGCTTCCCTTGCTTTGGAGGATGGGGGTGGGGTCCCTTGCTTCTTATGGGGATGACTTTGCCCAGTTTGCGTCTGCCCTCTGTGCTGTGCTGTGGCTTTAAGGTGGTTAACAGCTGGATGTGGCACCACCTGTGGGCCTTGCTTGGGAACTAGGCCTGGGAGTGCCAGAGCTGGGGTGAGTGGGCTTGAAGAGATCACGCATACTAGTTTCCTCAGCTGAGACTTGTAGAAAAAGATCAGAGAAGCTGTGTAAGTCCTGAAGCTATAGAAAAATATATGGGTTTTTGAGTTATTGAAGTATGAAGGCACTCATCTCAGGAGTCCCTGTGGAGAGAAGCCACCAGGCATTTGTGGGTTTCTACTAACAGTGAATTCAAAGCTGGGTGAAGGAGAGGGAGTCACGAAGACCCCAATAGGATCTGTACTGTTGCATTTGACTAACCTTCAACTGGTGTAAGATATGTATTTTTTATTATTATTATTTTTCCTTCATTTTTATTTTATGTGTATGGGTGTTTTGCCTGCATATATATCTGTTCAGCCAGTGTGTGCAGGGCCTGGGAGAGGCCAGTGTAGGGCACCAGATTTCCAGAGACTGGAGTTATTGATGTTTGTTCCCATCATGTGGGTGCTGAGGATTTGAACCCGGGTTCTTAGGAATAGAAACCAGTGCTCTGAATCATGGAGACATCTTTCCACCCCAAGACAAGTTATATTTTTTAACTTCTTCATGTAACGTGCAGGACCTGCTTGGGCCCCAATCATGTATACTCACAACCATTTGATAAGAGATTGCTGCACATCCTACTTTATGACTTGGTGGGTCAGATAATACTCCGCTCATGATGGGCAGCTCAGGTCACTTGGTAACTTGTTGAGACTTTGTCAAATCTTCTGTTTCCACCAAGGCCCAATAGCAGGCCAAGAGCTGCCTATCAAAGGGAGAATAGTTGTGTGTAGATGACGGGAGAAGCTTTCTTCCAAGGTCTCTTCTGTGGTTTACTTACAGGGGCCTGCCAATGGCCCCAAACAGCACCCATATCTGCCACTGACACCACTGGGTCTGCTGGATAACCAAATGGTAGAACAGTGGGCACAGTGGCCTGGAGTTGTTGAAAATCCATCTCCCGTTTTATGACCCACTGAAAGCTAGCAGCACTTGAGTGTTTTGGTACATGGGCTGGCGCAACACACCCAAGTCAGGAATGTGCTGTCTTCAGACTCTAAACAAATAGGCCCCAGGAAGCTAGTGCTTCTCTCTTGGTAGTAGGAGGGTCCAGGTCCAATAACTCACCCTTGACCTTTGAAGGAATGTTTCTGTACGTTTCTTACCATTGGACTTTCACTGAGGTAGAAGGCCACCTGAATTTGTACCTACAGAGGCCGGAAGTGGGCATTGGATTCCCCGGTATCGAATTTACAGGTGGTTGTCCACTGCCATGTGGGTGCTGGGAATCAAACTGAGGTCCTCTGGAAGAACAACCAGTACCACCAAGCCATCTTTCCAGCCCCTCCTCCTATTTCTAAATTAGATTTTATTTTAAGTCAAGGTCTCACTGTGTCTGTTATTCAAGGTAGCCTGTAGCTTGCTTTGTAGCCCAGGCACACCATAGCTTGCTATCCTCCTGCCTCAGCTTCATAAATATTGGGGTTCTAGGTACAGAGCATCATGCCCAGCATCCTTTGCTCACTTTTTTTTTTTTATGGCATCTACTACGTTTTGATATGTATGTACATGAAGAGCATTGCGTGTTTTATTGAGGAATTACTGTGGGTCTCGAAAAGTACGCTCTTCAACGATTAGATGAAGGCCAGCATTTAAGCAATCTCTTACTGAATCTGGAGTTTTGAAGTCAGAGAATGCTTCAGGAATTTGCTTCACTACTCAGCTCTCCAGTTACAGTGCATATCTTAAATGGAAAAAAATAGAATGACATGAACAAGTTAGGTATTTTTAACTTCTTAATTATGGCTGGCTGTGATTTGTAGGCTGCTTTTACAGAAGTGACACTGGACTCAGCGTCTGTGTGAGCCACAGCTCTAGTCCTTGTGCGTTCTGTACAAGGACTAGCGCTCTGCGTTAGAGTAAGCCATGGACCCTTGCCTTTGTCACCCACCGTCTGCCTGTTCATTAGAAGCGTGAAGTGCTTCTTGCTCACATTGTTTGGCAATGTTTGGATCCTCAAGAAGGGGCTAGGGCTGTAAAAGTCAATCTGTGTATTGTTCTGTCTTTGGACAGGAGAAAAATGATCTCTGTGCAGGTGAATTATGCACACAAGCTAAACGTATTCCTAGTATTTACTCGGGGCAGTCTAGAATGTAAAGTTCAGTGCATACCCCGGGGACTATGTTAAAATTGTATATTCCTTTTAAGAAAAGTTGAATGACATTTAAATGACATTTTTCTCTTCTACAGGAACCAAAAGCAAATACCAAAGTCATTTGTAAGCGTTGCAAGGTAATATTGGGAGAGACCATATCATCAGGTAGGAATTTCCTAACACAAGGCCGAAATGACTGCTCTCTAAATACAAAGCCAAGCAGATTTTAGAGTCAGCATGTAGGAAAGATGGATGATTAACTTATTTGATATAACAGAAACCACCTAATGCTTCACCCAGTACGCCAACAAGTTTGTACGTTCTGACCTTTACAAGTGCTGTCAGACTTGAGAAGCTGTGGCTGTCTTCAGGGTTTCATGTCCTTTTTGTAGGGTATAGAGTTTATACTTAGGTCCAACTTAAGGAAGTTTGGAGCCTTTTTTTCCTCCTTCTTCTTTTTCTGAAACAGGGTTTCTCTGTGTAGCCATAGTTGTCCTGGAACTCAGTCTGTAGATCAGACTGGCCTGGAACTCACGGAGATCTGCCTGTCTCTGCCTCCTGGGTGCTGGAATTAAAGCCTGCACCACCACTGCCTGGCTAGAGCTGTTTTCTCGACACAGTTATCTAGTTAGTGTCCAGAGATGGAAGAGTTCTTTTATTGACTGCTGTCTGTCTCAGGGTCCTATTTTGGCCGTCTGGGTTTTGTTTTTTGCCCCTTATTCTTTACTTATTTTTATTTTTCATAAAGGCTTCTGAATTTTATTTTATGTGCATGGGTGTTTTGCCTACATGCATGCACATGCACCACATGAGTGCCTAGTGTCTACAGGAGTCAAAGGATTCCCTGGAACCGGAATTAGGGGTGGTTGTAAGCCATGATGTTGGCGCTGGGAATTGAACCTGGGTTTTCTTGACCACTGAGCCATCTTTCCAGCCTTTCTCTTAGGTTTTTTTTTTTTTTTGGTTTTGTTTTGTTTTGTTACTTAAAAATACTATTTGTGTGTGCATATGCACAAGGCCTTGTGGGGGCCAGAGAACAGCATTATGGAGTTGGATCTCTCATTCCACCTTAACAAAATTTAAACCGGTTGCTGAGCTTGCATGGCAATGCCCTTACTGAGCCATGGCTTTGTGTCTTAGTTGTTATTTATTTTTTCTGTTGTATTATGCTTTCTGTAAACTCTCTTTTATCCTACTTTAAAATAGAACAATGAAAACTTTGGTAATTAAACTGGTGTTTAAAGTTACATTTTAAAATGTCTGGAGAGCAACAACATGCTGTGTTTTCGTGGGTGCTGATCACTTTTAATATGATTAATCGGAAGGTTTAATTTAAGTTAAGCTATGTACTTAAGGGAAGGCACATGGTGGCTTTTGCTGTTTATTTGAATCATTGTAATCTTACCAGTAATTTCTTTTTCTGAGTGAGCAGAGAAAGAAGGATGCACTGTAAAGATACTAGAGAGGGTATCTTTGCCACCTCCTTCCCTGAGCTTGAAAATGGCCGCTTTATGTAATATTAAAAAAAAAAAAA